TTCATTCATATTCTCTTCTAAGTTGCGAACAAGAACGAATACCTCCTTGGTAAGTTCTATAACACGTGCCAAGAGAACAAACAATTTGTCATGACGAATAACGTCCTTGGGCACATCAGGAAGAATAATCAATAGGAACTCTATCATGACATGAATGTTACACGTAGAAGCTCTAGGAGTACCAGAAATAACCATTTGCTCTTGTAGATGAATCAGAGATTCTCTAAGAATGTCCGGAGAGGCTTCTAGGAGCTGCTTGATGAAACGTTCAACTTCTTCCGACTTTGAACCTTTCAAATTTGTACAACATATGTGCATAACCTCCAGTTCAACAGGAATAACCTCCACAAGTAGATTATCTAGCTCGGAGTGATTATGACCTGATTTATCCACAAAAGTCGAACAGCAGAAGTTTACTACTCTCTGAGCTATAAGTTGAAGATGAGGTAAGACATATTCGATTATTTCATACTCAACGCAACTATTTACTTTCAACCTATGGAAATCTCTTAAATTGCCAAATACATTCTGAAGAAGCTCAACTGGAGTCGTTGATGGGAAATTGAGCGCAGAACCACACTTGAGTAGACTTTGGAGATACATGTGGATGGCATCTAAAAGTTCAACGAAATGATCCTCGGTCATGGTTGTTACACGGCTTGGTTCAACATAGCTATGTGAGCTAATATAACTTTTTGAAATTCTCCAAGAGGTGAAAAACATTCTATCAACCAGCATGTCTACTCCACTTGGATGAAACAGTGACTGAACGAAATCATGAATCTCATTGGATATGCAAGACATTTCGTCATTACAACTTTCCAAAAATAAAGAGTAATAAAGACCACAAAATGCGGACACAAACGTCAGCTTCTTTGTCAACTCTTCAATGTCAAGAGAAGTTCGAACACGCCCACTATTTAACCTCTCTATGAAATCTAGAAGATTGTCGATGTTCTCGCGAAGTACAACGCGGGATGACACCTGCCAAAAGACCAAATGTTGTTTCAAATTATGTTAATACATAGATGGTGATAATTTAGATAGAAAAAGGGAACGACTAATATAGTTGAGGTGTGAAACTCGCCAAAACGTGATAGCTCAGGCATGTTTTGATTGTTGACTCTAATTTTTACAACAAGCAACTGTTACAAGTGCAGAGGACTTTCCCTTGCTTTTTATGTTCTTCTATAGAACTAATTATTTTTCACTATAATTGAAAAGTTGAAGTCTTTGCCCTTTAAAAAATATATATTTTAAATGTACATTTCTTTTGTTACTTATAATTATATTTTTTTTATTTGTTTAATTTTATATTGGATAATAAATACATAGTGTAAAATAAGCAAATCATGTATTAGTATTGACATTGCTTAAAGTGCATTAAGCATGTTTTAGTCTTAAAATGCAAATATTCATTTAATTTGAAATTAAAAATGTTTTCCCCTTGTTATTACATAATTTTATTTTATATTGAAAAATTATAGGATTTCTTTATACTTTTATGATACAATAAAACTAAATGAAACATTTTCAATATTTTTCATCTAAAAAAAGACTAAAATATTTTCTCCATGTTGAATTTTTAAGCAAAGTACTATTTATTCATGAAAATATGAGTAAATATGGGTAAACTAGTATTTTACCCAACCCATTTATTACCCAATCCATTTTTACTCATATCAAATATGGGCGGGTTGAATTATTACCCATTTTCAACCCGCCCAAATTAAACCCAACCCGCCCATTTGTCACCCCTATTCTTAAGCCATTCCGAACATGTTGTACTTAGGCCACCAAGGTCCGATTCTCATGATCTAATACAAGGTTTGATTATATTCTTGCCCTTACATCTATCAACCATAGCAGATGATCTAGTACATAGAATTTAACTTGTACCAGAAAGAATAAATCATCGATTCTTATAGGTTATGAAGATTATATTCACCATCTAAGTTACATAAAGCAACATACTTACAAGAATATATTAATTATGTGAATGAAAAAAAATAATTATGCAACATACCAATGATTTGTTATCTTCCCCTTTGTATAAAAGCGAGAGAAGCGAGCGAGACTGCCACCAAACGAAAGTGGCGAGCGAGATTCCACCAGGGAGAGTGGCGAAAATAGCAATAGTTTGCTATAGGGTACAATTAAATCAAAATATATTTATAGCATTTAATTTGAATTAATAGTTTGCTATTATATACAATTTTCCCTAATAATTAATTATGTGAATGAAAAAATAATTAAATATTATATGCAACATACCCCCTTTGTTACCAAGGAGAGTGGCAAAAATAACAATAGTTTGTTATAGGGTACTCAATCTGCTGCACAAATCCAAGAGAAATCCACAAATTTTTCAACTAGGAGATCATTATATCTTCGCCCTTTGGATAACGTGCAAGGCAAATAAAACACGGCTTTACGTGATCTGACAAATGGTCATAACTTAATTGTATAACCTTCACCACTTCGTCTTCATCCTTAAAAATAAAGGAACTCAAATTATTCAAAACTTCAAGCCACAAAGCCTCTTTCTTTTCCTTCCTTGAAATGACTCCACCGATTAGATCAAGTACCAAAGGAAGCCCATCACATTTTCGGGCTATCATTTTTCCGACATCCTTTAGTTCATCAGGGCAACGTTCTTCTCCGAATACCTTTTTCTCTAATAACTCCCAACTTTCTTCTGATTTTAGCAATCGAAGATAAAGAGGATCACTGTGGCATATTCCATGCAAAGCAACTTCCTTTTTCCGACTTGTTAAAATCACTCTGCTTCCTTTCCGAAATTCAGGAAAAGGTCTTGTTAGCTCTTCCAATGTTGCAGTATCCCACAAGTCATCCAAGACAATAAGGTACCGCTTTCCACATAGATTTTTCCGCAGATTATCAGCAACGTCATCATCTATGTCATCCTCACTGAATCTTTCTTTCAAACCAATGACTTGATTGAAAATTTTCTGCAACAACTTTTTCTCATTACGTTCCTGGTCGACTGTGCACCAAGCACAAACATCGAAATGATCAACAATGGACTTATCATTATACACTCTGTAAGCCATAGTAGTTTTTCCAATCCCTGGCATGCCGACGATGGAAATGACATCTATCTCAGCTGGTCCGCTGGTGAGCTTCCTAATTATCCACTCTGTCTCCTCTTCAAAACCTACAATTATTTTACCAACTGTACTCGATGAGTTTCTTTCAACCGGCTTGTTGGGAGCG